GTGTATATCGTATATATATTAATTAGGGTTTCTGATTATTACTGTTTATAATTATTCCAAGAGTCCAAATAGTTGAAATATTGCCATTGTTTGTCATTAAACACAAAGCCACTAGATGGGTTGTCTGTGCTATACCCAGCATGTTTTATAATTTGATTTATAATATTATAATGTATTTTTAGCCATCTTGTGTGAGAATCATTGATTAGTTGAATGTCCAAACTATAACTGCTCTATTAGAAGTTGGTTTAGTGTGTTACTACTGTATGTTATATGTAATAAAATACTGAATAGATATTAAGAACTTGTCTTCATATGTTTTAAATCTTTCAACACAGGCTCGGTCAGTTTGACTGACCACATGACCTCTTTGTACTCATTTAAAGTCTTTATAGTTTTGATATTACTAACTTTTAATACAGTATGTATATCTTCACAAAATTTGGCAGACTTTCATTAAACATTATAAGTCTTTCACATATAAAAAATCATATTTTTAGTGAAGTATTTTTAATAAACTAAAAAACATTTGTCCTTGAATATATTGTCTTTTTGTTTTATCAGTCCGAGTGCAAAATGATTTTCATCTTAAGATTAAAAATACTTTTTCATCTCAAAAAATCTCAAATTTCATTTGCGTAATCTCTAAAACTTCCTAAGTACACCTCAAATATTTGTTTTCAGTAAAACGTTATATTTTATCTGTTATTTTCTCTACCCTAACTCTATACCAGGCTGGTCAATTTGACTGACCTCATAACCACAAAAAAAATTGGAATAAATTGAATGACTTCAAATTATAACATGAAACTACATTCATTTATCCTAAGTAGCTTTAAACTCGTAACAGTATACATCTATTTATACTTTAATTATATTGTTTTATTGCCCTTTGAACATGTCTAACTACTATTTATGCCATTATAAGTTGTATATCACTTGGGGAATGTGGTTCTCACATTATACTGTCGAATTAGATTACCCACAAGCTACTCCGAGTTGCTCACATGCATGCTTCATGAAACATTTTTATTATTATTATTATTGTTTATTTTACCTTAATTAACCTAAAGAGATCCTTATTTTTACATATTAGTTACTTTTATAATAATAGATAAAGAATAAACATGAAAACAAGAAATATGGTACTTACCCAATTCTTCTTTTTTTTGCTGTCAACTGTTGATGATACATAGCTCTACTGTTTTTTACACTAGTGGTAGCAGTGCATTAAGTACTTTTTATTTGATTAAATAATGCACCAAAGAACATAGAATAATAACATTCAAAATGTGAACAATATCCCCTAACTATCACAATTTTTCTGGCTTTCTAACTGTGAGACAAGAGTTGTTATAAATTCATCCTAGCTATTCGTTATCTTTCCCATGGGAATGAAGCTTGTACTAACAGAAAATTATAATTCTCTGTTCAGAAAACTTTGCAATGTTTATACATAATATAGAATTAAATCTGAGAGAGAACTATTAACAAATTACGAAAGAGAGAATGTGACAAATGAGTGTGGCAAGAGGAGTCTGATTTTATATTTGGTGGCTCTGTAACCAAACAAGGTTGAAGGTATAAAGATTATGGTTTGTCTGAGCAATGATGATTTTATAGTGAGTAATTTATGTTAAATTTGGCATTTATTGGAGGGGAATAGAGAAAAGGGGATGCCTAGAAAAAATGTCACATTTCTTACACTAGGGGAAATTCTGTATTTTTTTAATATTACCTTATAAAATTAAGAACTTAAAACTTATATACTATTAAAATATGGATTATTAGCTACTATTTTATGCTATACTAATTGGTATAATTTAAACAAAAAGTAGTTCAATTAAAATTTGAATGTAAGTCACTAAAACCTCGTGACATGTGCAATAAAGGATGCCCTTGCAGAAAGAGTTAAAGAAAATTTTCCCTTTTATTTATTTATTTATTAAGTTTGTAGTATTGCATTTATTACTTAAAAATAATGTTTGCTTATGTTTATTACTGGAATATTGAAAATATATTGAGTCAACACAACTTCCCTTCATTGTCAACAGGACATGATTGAACATTCTGGAAAGACTTGGGGTCCAGGTGAACTTCCTCCTGTTAGTGGAGGATTTACGGTAAAAGATATTGAACAGAGTATATGTACACTTCATAGTATAGCTGTCAATCTAAGGCGAAAAAGGTTTGAAGATGGAGCTCTTCGCCTGGATCAAACCAAACTGCAGTTCACTCTTGACTCAGAAACAGGACTTCCCTCCGGCTATTCAGTCTATGAACAGAAAGATAGTAACCGGTAAGATAGGAGGAAACAGGCTATATAATCCAGTTCAAGATGTATGTAATAGTATTTATCACATGTTAGTATTTCTCCAGGAATAATTTGTTATATATACACACACACATCTTATTCATTGTAATTAAATGTGAGGTTTGAAGATCTTATTAAATGCTTAGACATTAAACAGAATGTTTTTATTCTGCATGAAATTTTCAAGTCAATAAAGACAATGTTTTGTTAAATTCTCCTGAGGATTCAAATGTCCAATCATGTTGAAATACTAGTTGTGATGAAACTCCAGGTCAACTTGGAAATTAACTCTTCTTTTTTTTTCTGTAAGACAGTTCATAGGTTATCTTTAATATGAGTAACATTTACCAGGTTTTACACAGTGTATCTTATTTTTCTTTGATAGATATGAGAGCAGGAAAAAGTGCATGTATTGTGATTTGATAAAGCAATAGCTTTTTCTATATTGAGGTACTTTTGAGTTATCTAGAAGCTGTACTATATTTAATAAATATCAATAAACTGTTTTATAAGTGTCATTTGGGTTATTATGAACTTTAGCAATAGAAAAAGAGAACTGATACATGGTGAAAGACTGACTAAATACAAAGTATAATTCTTAAAATCCAAAAGTAGTAAGTTATAGATCTGGAATACACTTAGCTAAATATATAAGAATTTCTTTACAATCAATCTTACATTCACCAAACATATCAATATATGAAGTTTTGAAAGGTTTCGTGTTAGAATAATTTTATTTCACTTACATCATTGTATCATTTCAAGAATTAATTAGCAAGTATGTAATGTACATCTATCCTGTGCTTGCTCAATGTAAAAAATAATGATTCTATATTTAGAATAATAATTTTGTTTATCCAGGTTAATAGAAGAATTCATGCTACTAGCTAATATGGCAGTGGCACATAAGATTTACAAACATTTTCCCAAGCAAGCCTTTCTTCGATGCCATCCACCACCTCAAATGAAAATGATGGAAGATGTTGTGGATAGTTGTGCTGCTATGGGTATTCATTTGAATGCTTCTTCAGCTAGAACCTTGCAGGTAACAGTTTCTTTATACTGTATTAAATCACTTCTCAAAGTGACTCATCATATAAACAAATTAAAGTTATATTGAAATATCTACTTGATTCTTTGAAAAGAAAAACATTTTAGTATGGGAAATACTATTATAAATGTTTTTTTTTTTCCTTTCAGAAAATTATTTTAGTATGAAAAACACTGTTGTAAAAGTTTTACTTGAATATTTTTTTATTCAAATGAAATATAAAAAAATGTACTTCAGAATATCAAATCACTGATGATCAACATGAGTTGTGTTTTAAATTTTGGCTAGAGCTTGTTTTAGTGGCAGACTGATTTTGACACTGGTCTAAGATCACCCTATTATCTAATTGTTATTAGGCAAAAATAAATTTGTCAAAATAAATGTGAAATTGTAAGTCATAGGTCATCCTAAAATTTTTTCTAACTGTGTTTATAATGTCAGTTATGCAACAAGTATGTGATAAATACTGTATATGCATTAGAATGAGGAAGTACATGAAACATAAATTATGTAACTATTTGATTTTTTAACTGATTATGGACTATGAATTTTTATGTAAAATAGAATTGTCATCAAATTTAAATTTACAGTTACACTGTTCTTTGATGCTTCAGCCTTGATCTCCAGTTATGCTTGAACAGTGCTTGACCATTAAACAAATACTCACTGAAAGATTTCACCACAAAATTTGAAACATCAGTTTGAACTCACTCCTGGAAAAGTTTTTCTTACTCAAAGCTGTTCAAGGATGACTCCCATTTTCTTCAGTAGATGGAGAAAAAATTTGAAAAGTTACCACAACCTCTCAAAGAACATCAGAACCACTGCATCCAACACCTCTTCATTCTAAATACACTTTTTCTGATCAAGGCCAATATGTACTTGAATGTGAGGAGTAAATTGACTTCTTCCTTCAATCCAGTCTTTTGGAAGTGAGAATTCAATTCCATAGTTCATAAAACCAAGAGGTATAGAAAACAGAAAAAAAATGGTATTGCATCAAATAAACAGGCTTCTTCCAATTATGAAGAAGTTCAATGTTTCATTGGCTTGTTGTTATGTTCATCATTAGCACCATTTCACAAACATATGCCCACTTTGCAGATTTGGACCAACTTTCATATATCAAGCAACACATTTCTACAGTGCTTCATTTCATTGATAATGAACGTCTCCCACCCAACCTATTAACTGATGAATGATTTGAAGCAAAGTTTGGTAATAACATCCTCTTCGTAGTGATCAACATGAGCCTAAAGCTTCTATAACCTGTCTAAGATCTTGATGAAATTATGATGACTTTAGTTTTATGAGAAAAGTATTATTTGCCTATATATGAAATCCAAACCAACAAAATAGGGCAAGAAATTGTGGGCAATATTCTGTGCACACTGCAGATACTTTCTCATACGAAACATTTACATTGGAAATGTGGTCGAAGCAGTGGGAGGGCACATTACCATTTTGCAACTCTGCAAGCCATATTTCAACAAAGAACTCTTCTCCCGTCTAGATCTGGGGACCCACCTACACTTGAGAAAAACTGGTATGGTTGATACTTCTGGTAAAACCTCATTACTACTCAGTTTGAAACAGCTCATGAGCTACGTGTGTCCACTCTTCTGGGCCTATAAGTTGTTCAACTGCAAAGCCAATATCAAGTATTGAAATCTGAAAACAGTTACATTTCCTCATGCAAATGGGCTAGTCTGGATGGATAAGATATACTGAGCTGAAGACAAGAAAGTGGTATTCATCACAAACTGTCTTCCAAGCATTTCCATTTTTCCTTCCTAATATCAGTGGAAGTAATATATGTGATAGCTGCTCCATGTACATGCTTTACAGCTTCAATTCCCCAAACCTACAATAATAGAAGGGGAGTATTGAAGCAACACAATTGCTGGCGTAACCTTGAAGCATGGGTATATGAAGATCTTCTACCACATCTTGGATTCATCTGTGGTATAAGCATAGATCCTTTATAAGATGTGCAAGGATGCTGAAAGACTGTAGAACATTGTCACAGAATGGAAACACACTTTGGCTTGGTTCAAAAAGCACACTGCAGTAGTTATTTGTCTAAGAAATAGGCAACTAACCCATCACTCTTGCTAACATCTTTTCTTGAAGCTAAATAAAAATCATCAAATTGTGATGTTATCCAAATCTCAGGAATGCACTTGACACAAACCCAACCCAATGCATTACATGCAATATGCAGAAAAGAAAAACCTAACCCCAGGAATGCACTTGACACAAATCCAGTGCATCACATGCGGTATGCAGAAGAGAACAGTGTAATCCCAGGAATGCACTCGATGCAAACCCAGTGTATCTTATGTAGTATACAGAAGAGAACAGCCTATTCTGCATGCAAAATCCCATTATCTAAGTAGTACCGGAGACAACTCCTGAGGAAACAAACGGAGTCAGATGATGCCATTTATTCATCTCCTCACATTTTTCCATATCTATATATTGTCACCACTGAATCAGAAGCCAGTGGCTCGTAAATTAGTAATTGCTTTGTTGGATCTGTGTTAGTCCATGTTAAATATTGTTCTAAGGTAGAAATTCTTGTCACAGTTTTGGTATGTGTTTACTATTCCTTAACTGCTTATCATAGAATATAATCCACTCTTTAGAAATGTGTAAAACATATCAAAATATAGTATTTAGACCAGACCAGTGGAAAACAGTGGAGTATAGTCAAAAGTTAGCTAATATCAAAAGGAAGTAAAATTATAACTGAGGTTAATAAAGAAGTATGAAAATGAAAAGATTTAAGAATGATAAAATTAGTGAGAAATAGTTAAGACTTAATGCAGAAGGATTATCAAATAACAACTAATGAATTACATAAAAGGTCAATGAAACAAAATACAAATGAGTAAGAAAAATTTTGTTATATAAAAAATCAACCTCAAATGTTTTGGAAAGGATCCATAAGGGTTATTTTGTGCTATCTCATTAACTGGGGATGTAATCAGTTAGAACCTGTCTCTGTGCAACTGCATACAGTACTTTTATTACATAGTGTGGAAATATATAGAAATATTTCTGATAGAAATATTAAACAGATAGTTAAACAGCAATATGTTTTATTTTGTTTTTTCTTGTATGTAGAACATATTGGTATATACAAAAATGTAATGGCATAAGAAACTTTTTGATATTCATTTTAGTTGTGTTTTAATTTTTGAAAACTTAAGTCTAATTAAATCTCAAAGCAGGAATTAAGTACTTTTAAGAATATATATATTAGTGATGTTACTTAGTGACAAATCAATATTCACAAGAAGTATTTTACACAGACATACCACTTATCAAATGCTCAGTTTAAAATCTAAAGAACTATTTACTTACATTAATCACAAAGTTTTTACATTATAAATGTGTGTATTAAAGTCCCTGATGAGGTTTGGTGAAGTTCTAGCATTTGTGTGTACCAAATGTAATAGAGAAAAACATTGAAATTATTTATTTGTATTAAACATTATAATGAAAAACTATTGAAGTGACTTGTATATTTGTACTGAACATCTTAAGGTCACTGAAATTACTTGTATGTTTGTACTAAATGCTAAACATAATAGGAAATATTGTTGTAGTAATTTATAAACCGAAGTTTTTAAAATTACATTTGGTATTGAAAATTCTGAAAATTAATTGGTACATTAAGCAAGTGTTTTGTACGCTACCTAATGTGCAATTCAATTAAGTTTTTTTTGGGTTTTTTTTCATAAGCTTAAACAACAACTTAATTTACTGCATGATTATCAGGTAACTGTAATTTTCATTTATGAAAAAACAAAAGATGCCAAAAAGTCATCTGCTTGTTTGAATATTAGAGCAAATGTTTTTTAATGTGAAATATCTTTTAAGAGTAATGGACAATTTGACACTACCAAATTTTGAAATGTATGAAGTAATGAAATTTTTGAAGTGCTGTTATTCCTAGTTTCAAAGAGAACTAAAAACCTTGTATTCAGTACATCATGTTAGATTTTTCTTAATGGATGTTAACATTTTTGTGCAATTATTTTTGAATTATGTAAATTTGTGTAATGAAAAGTTGAGGATGTCTTTTGGTATTGAAATCTGTGCTAGCAATTATAATTATATTTTCCTCTGACTGTAGGCTTCTTTGGCTAAATACTGTGGTGAGGACCTGTATTCTGCAGCACGCATTCAGATTCTCACAGCCTTGTGTTCCAAACCCATGAATGTAAGATGAATATTTTATGTTTTGTTTACCTAGAACATGTATCTAAATTAGTGAAATTACTGTTTATATCATGGGAGAAACTGTCACTCACTCATTAGTTCAACCAATAAATAAAGTCCCCTTTGATTTTTGAGTATTAAAATATGAATTAATTCTACATGTAATTACACAATTGGACTTTGAATACTGTCTCATTTTCAAATAATTGGGAGAAGTAGTTAACTGAATTAAAATGTTTTTCTTTCTTAATATGTCATTTCTGGTGGAAGTGGGGGTAACGTTTGTAATTTTAATTACATTTCTTGTCTCCTATACAGAAACTTTGCATGTATTATAACTTTGTAGCTTTCATATAATTTTGTTGCTGTACATAACCCTTAAGGTGGCATGTGCTGCAGATTGGCTGTCATCATTCTTGTCAGTGATTCAAAACTGGGTTAGCTGTATCTTAACAGTAAAGGTCTTTGACCTGACCATGAAGCCTATATGTGTATAAGATGCCATTCAAACTGAAAATACCAACACTTTAATTCTGATAACATCTTTGGCCACCTGTCAAGAAGATACTTTATTATTTTTGTACATTTGTTTGTATTTATGTTGTGGGTTATAAAAACTTTTAACATTTTAACTACAGGCATCTTTTTCTGAGTATGTCATGAGGTTTTAGTGAGCTACATTCAAACTTTAATTAAGCTACTTTCTTATCATGGTATATTAATAACCGTGGCATAGAAACATAGCTATTAATCCAAATTTTAATATTATATAAGTTTTACATTCTTAATTTTTTCTGTATTATATATAAAGACTGTTCTCAGTTCATGCACAGAGTCTACTAATACAATCTGTACCATCATTTGCAGTCTCCTTGATGGCATCAGTGTGGAGATACCACTCTCTCCTCATGATTCTTGCACTGTCGATTTCACATCTTTGGATGTATGCAAGGGGCTGATGGTCTATCTGGATGATGAACTTCTTCCTGTAGAGGTAGTTCTGGAAATTCTGGATGGCAATTATGATGGCCAGACACTCATTTGATCACAGAATGGTTCTTCTCACTACTCAACAGCTTTTTAGTTATGTGCATTACTGAAAAAGTCATCTTCATGTTCTTGTAGAAGTATGGCTCCAATTACAGTTAATTTTGATTATTCCTTTGTTTCCTATAACTCCATCAGAAGAAGCTCCCAAAAATCCATAATTATCTACAACTAGCCAATATGAAGTAATGCTATTTCCTGTGTTTTCAATATACAATAGAACTTTGACATTAAGGGCATCATTCTGACTGCTTTCAAATGCCCTCTGTAACAAGGTGCCCTTAATATCCAAAATGAGCCACACAAAGATGGATTCCATATTTACCTTACTAAGTTTCTTAATTTTAAGGCCCCTATTTTGTTTGGTGTATGCAAGACACAGGTATTCATGAGTTGCACATTGCTATGACATGGATTGTTGTCAACAGAAAGTCTTGGGGGTGGATTAGCTGTGCCCTTTTTTCATTATTATTGGTCACAAAGTTTCAAAGTACTTCTCTTCAGAGCTTGAAATGCTAAACATTTCACAGTTATTTTCTGTGTTTATTTTACTGTCAAAGACTGAAGTAGAAATCCTGCTGAAAATAAAGCAACATATCGCTGCTTGTGTCGTTAGACAGTTTATGTGACACCATAATATGATACTCTTGAGAGCAACAAAGCACGTACACAGAAATAAGCTGACTTGACCCCTGCTCTGAGAATGTGATGTGGAATTTATCAGCTTATGTGTTCTACAGTGTTTACAATGAGAATTCTCAAGAGTAATAAGATTGCAATTTGAATCTGTGAAAACATTTATTACCGTATATGGTTCAGAGCTGATCCAATAAACATCACAAGTGTTTGATTATTGGTCATCCTTCTGGAATGTTTGTAATTTAGTGGTATACTGTACAGGCATACAAAGATAGCTGCCTGCTTTATCGAGTGGCGTTATAGAGAATGAGACTAAAGACATTGCCCTTAATCTGGAATATCGAGATGCCCGTTATTGCAAGATTTATTTTGGTTACAAATAGTAGTAAATGGAAAGAGACTGAAAAGATCTGCCCATAATGCCGTGGTGCCCATTAATTGAGGTTATGCTGTATTGCTATAACTTCATAATGGCAGCTATATTCTGTAGCTTCTGAAAAGAAAGTTTTTGCATATAAAAGCCTTTTCACTGTTGCTTCACATGATGTGGTTGAGTGCATCTTGCATATTGCTCTGAAATTAAACACAGTAAGATATTTACATCAATCTTCTTTCCACTCAGAATTTTCAGTTTGTTGTTCTGTTCTTTTCTTTAGGCAATTTTTTTCTTTCCTACTGTCCAGCATCTGTTCACAGTTATGTAGCTGTTGAGCTTGTGGATCATAGTTAGAAAATCCCAGGGGTTGAAATTGTTTCTTTATAGACTGCACATTTATTTTATTATGGCCTTCATTAAGTTTCTTCTGCATGCAGCTTTTTTCTTTTCCGACTTAGAAACATATTTTTTTTACAATAATGGAAGGGTTTTAGGAGTTGATCTTTTCAAAGCCCATGAAACTCCATGATGGTAAGATAGACCTGCACCATGGCAGCATTGATTATATGACTTGCCTTGAGATCTGTTGAAGTTCTTCCCTCCAATAAATTTACAAATAAGATACATGTATGTCTCTGCTCTGTTTGTAGTTACATCAGCCAGCAATCTATTTCCTTTCCTTACCAAATATCTGATGACATCCATTATTTTTGCCAGTTGTGGTTTTGGTAGTCGCCAGCTATGTTTTCTTCATTGGCAATATGCTATATTACACTTTCAGTGGTCACCAAGAACATATAATGAACCATTTAGTAGTTGCACTCTCAGTTCTTTTGCTGAACCCCCAATCTTTTTATTCCATGTGATTGTTGCTTTTGCACGTTTGTTTTCATTTTCAGGATTCTATCTTTTTGTAAGGTAACGAGAGTTTTTTGGAAGTTTCCTTTACAAGTCAAATATCAACTTTGTATGACATTTGACAGTATGGTTTGTACATTCCAGTGTTTTGATTGTTCTTTCATAAGGACATTTTAATAGGATGGATTTATAGACATTTGTATTCTTTACTTATAAAAGTAACTAAAATGTAAAAATTAGAAATTTGTTAAGTTAGTTTATATAAGATAGGGGGGGGGGATGAGAGTTCTTTACAACATATGCTAGAGAGTAGCTTATGCATTATGTAATTCAATATGGTAACATGAGCTACAGGTTTGCCAAGATATTTACTTCTTGTGTGGTGGGATTATTAATTTACATGATCCAAATGGCAGTAAAACAATAAAATTTAAATATAAACAGATGTATACTGTTACAAGCTTTAAGTTGTTTTGGATAAACAACTGTAGTTTCCTGTTACAATTTGCAGTCATTCTAGAATGAAAAAAAGGGTAATTTATATTTATTTCATTTTTTAATGGTGGTTTCAAGTAATGACATCACTTCTAGCTCTGAATAACCACCTCCACTACTAATAATTCTCCAAACATCAGTATTGTTGATATTTAGGTGCACCTCTCTTACCTGTTCAACACTAGGTTGATTGATTTGTGGCTCTGCATCCATACTTATCAGCTTCACTATATGGCAGAAGTCACATTTGAAATGTCTCTTACGTACCAAAACTGGCCATCAATACTTTTATTGTGCCTGTATCTGTAGACAAAAAGATTGTGAATGTTATATATATTGCAAACCATGGTGTCTGTTTGAGTGTTTGTCTTTCTCCCACTTGAATAGCTGAGCATGCTGGCAAAACTTTTGAAATGATAGGAGAACAGGCATGAATAATGTTGATGCCAAATTGTATTTTGCAAGCAGGATATTCTACACTGAATTGTTAGGTATTAATCACACTATCATTCACATTTAAAAATGTGAAGTAATTTAAAGAATTAAAATGTAGATTTACTATATGTTATTGTTGAGCAGCTCTTAGCATGACTGAAATGCTTAGCAGTTACTTTTCACAGTGGGTGGTATAAGTAGCTCAAAGCTTTGGCTCTGAGTGAAACCAAGAGTGCAACACAATTAACCTTTTCAAAGTCAACGATATAATTTAAATTGATAGATTAACTTAAACTTTTCCTGTCACTGGGGATGGGTACTTTTGCTTGTGTTTTAATATTACAAAGTCCAATCAAATATTAAAAGATCAAATGTATCATTTTACTCTAACAAATCTCATGTAAACTGGGTTTACTTATGAAAATCAAGGTCTCTGATTTTATAACAAAATGCTGCGTGTTAACAATCCGTCGCCCTTCAAGATTGCTTAATCCTGTATCGTTAGTAGGATTCCATGTATAGGGCTCAGCTTCAAATAGTAGAACAACATCATCATCATCTAGACAGTTCTGAATACCAGAAAGACAGGTATTACAAGAAACTTCTGCAGATGTTTGTAGCTCATCAGAAGATGCTGTAATTGTCGACATGTTGTCCATAGAAAATGCAGAAATTATACATAAGTAATCAGAAGTGTAGAATTTACAAGGTATTATTTTATCACAGAAAATTATATCTTTTCTTGGAACTCAGAAAATCTATTACAGTACTGTAGGTTTGTTCTAATATTCACAAATCAAATTAATTTTCTTGAAATGCAGTCCGTAACAGTTCTTTTTTTCCTGCTTGCAAAACCTTGAGTCTTTGTCAGTGATCCTAAAGTGAGAGGTCATTTGTACCCTACTAAGAAGGTTTGGATGACCAAACTCTAATTAATTTGTGTTCCTGGAATTTATTTTGCAACAGTAGGTGTTTTCTGTGATGTGACGACAGTGCTGGTTTCGTGACAGTTTCCATAAAGTGAGGTGGTAGTTGGATATCAATTTATTGTATAGTTTAATAAAATGTGAATCACACTAAACACTAGTACATAATGCTGTGGCAAAGTTGGTCTTTTTTATTATCATAACATAAGAACATTTTAGATGAAGTAGAAATATGTAATCATTACAAACTAACCTTTATATTAGATGTACTTCTGCAAGGTAACCAGAAGTGTTCTGCTTCAAAAGTAAATAAAACCAAAATTAAGAATAACAAATATTTTTATTTCTTGCTTTTGAAGTTCATATTTCATGCTGTGTTGTAGCCAACAGAGTGCATAACTCTTCTCGTGATTCATGGCATGCTCATGTTTTACTGATGTCACAACCATACAAATTACAAAGTTAATCATCCTTTATGTGACATCATTTTAAGTGTTTACTGACTGATTGACAAACAACACACTACTGTATAGTGGTGAGAGTGGTTTAAACAGATGAACCCTCCAGGTGGCCTTTGGCCCCCTTTTGGAGAAACTAGTGTTATTTTGAACTTGGTGATTTATCCTGGTTGCCATGGACGTTTACAGATGTTTACCACTCACAAGAATTAAATGCAAAAGAAGGTATATGAGTATTTGTTTTGAGTGCAGAGCTATAAAAAATGGTCACCATGGGTATTGTGATCCAGTTCTTGGCATTGTAAGCCTACAGACTTAGCACTGATTCACTGCTGTAACTGAGGCTTTCTTTGTATGTTAGTTAAACCAATAATGTAGGTTGGCGTTTCCAATACAGTGCTCCTATAAATCATCGCATTATCTTAATGCATTTCTGTAGCTTTCAAACAAATATAATATAAGATGAAAACATTTTCAGGAAGAAAAAGAATCACTAAAGAGACTATAATAAAGTCCCAGATCTGTGGTTTGTTCTTATTTAGGTCATCAGAACTTCCCATTTAATTCCATAAATTACTTCTCACACTTGTATATTCACTCTACATTTACATAAATAATTTATGATTTGATTTATTCAATGGAATTTAGGCTTTGCTTCTAGGTATTTTCAAAGTTGTGCTTCATTAATAGTTGTTAAGATCATGTGCTTTGAACTTAGATTTATTATGATGCTGTTAAAGTAAATTTAGTACCGTAAAAATAAAACATCTTATTTTTCATTTGTAAAATAATATTAGAGTTGGAATTTTTTGTTTGGTTGAAATTTTGATGGTATCATGTCAAATTTATCTTAATTGAAAAAAATAGTAGTTCTTAAATTGCTATATAAACATAGGAACTACGAAAGACGAGACAATAAATCAATTCCACTAATTGTCCAGCTCTAATGCTGGTGAGATATTGTTTAATTTTGCTAATATTAGTGGTTTCACAGTTGCTGTAACTTGATCTGTCAACAACTCATGAGTACAAAGCAGTCTGTCTTTGCATGAAAATAAAGTCATTAAGCATAGTCTATAATTTTTAAATTAGTTGCCTTATTCATTTTTTTTAATTTTAATTGACAAATTATTTTCCAAAATAAATTATTCAAAAGCAGATTGATCATTAGGAAACATTTGATGATTTGTACCTGGGTCTCAATTAATTGAAAAAATTGGTTACATGTAATTGTTTTTATAAAGAAGCTCCAGTGATACCTGTTTTTAAGTTGAAGTGTAAAAAGGCTTTATTTTGATGTGAAGAAACTTGTAAGAAGATAAAATAAGAGATTGTTTCTAGTGAATGGAGGTAAAGCTTTTGAAAGTTGTGAAAAAAAGTAAATGTTATCTTAGAGTGAAAAATATTTGAGTTGTATTTAAGAGTTATTTTTATTGATAGTAATTAGCTTGTCAAGAAATTGATGCATATAGTGTTTCTTTTCAGTGTGCCCTGTACTTCTGTAGTGGTTGGGTGAATGACCCTAAAAGTTTTCATCATTACGCTCTTAATGTGCCTCTTTACACACATTTTACATCTCCTATACGACGGTATGCAGATGTTATTGTCCATCGTTTGTTGGCAGCTGCTTTAGGTAAGTTATACAAATTGTTTTGAGGTTTTAGTGATAAACATTTCACTCTTTCTTCCAAGGAAATAATATGCACAGCCAAGGGAACGGGCTTGGAAAAATCAGCGTTAATTTGCTGTTAATTTGCAGCAAAAAGAGCATGTGTCACTATATATATATTAAAAACTTTGATTTTTTTAAAGTATGTTAAGTAGGGTCATATGTGTCTTTAAAAACCTTGAAAAGGATTACATTTGTAAAGTTTCCAAGAAAGTGGTTGAATTTTGTATGTATGACTATTTGTTGATGTTTCATTTATTTTATTTTTACGTTTATTAGAAAAGTCCAAAATTGCACAAGCTTATTCAATTTAGAACTTCTAATCCAAAAATATCTATGGAAATGTGTTGTACAGCATAGCACAGTTTAATATTTGTTCCACACTCAGCCACACCATGAATAGCATTATATCAATGTGCTCAACTCGATTAGAATTATTTTAATATGAATATCTTTCTGGACATGCCTAGAAAATGTCACAATGGGATAGATACTGATGGAATATATGTGTGCCTTTCTATATTCTAACTTTGCTTTAACACTTGCTATTCATTTATTAATTTGAGCATACATATAGTATTGTAAATAATTAAGAAACTTCTTAGGTGATACATATACAAGTTACTAATAATGAGTAGTTGCAACTAAGTGATCATTTTATCATTAGTACAATACATTATTACACAAAATACAAAAGAATAGCAAATAACTTGTACAATCCACTAGTATTTTCTTTAAGCAGAGCAGCACACCTTGTTCTTATGCTGTTATAGGTTTATCATTGTATGATTGTTCTGGTTGCTATTTGAACTACTCAGTTTCCATGTAAGATCATACATTTTTAACAATATTCATTTAAAGACTTTGTGCAGACCAAGCCAAGGTTGTATGTGTTCAATCAGTTTCTTTTTCCTTTCTTTCATTTTCTGACAAGCGTAAGGGAAGTAACACATAAAGATCATTCTTTTGTTTTATTAGGACATATTAGAGAGATAGATTATTAGTGTACAAGGTACCAAAATGTCATGAATTAAAGAGATAGATTATGGTCTAAGACCATTCAACAGCATCAGGAACTTTTTCATACCACATCTGAAACATGTTAAGAGTGCTGTTGGGATTTAAAAAATGTTTACTAACCCTTTGTTAGAACCTTGAATCTGACTGAACTTATAAAACAACAATGTCATAAGAAAAATATAGCTTTTGCAAGACTTAATGGAAATTTTTGATTTTATAAAAGTATGAAATATAATTTATTTGAAACTTAGGATACCAATCACCTACCAGCATCAGTGTTGAGGATCTCCAAAGACAAGCCAGTCACTGTAACGACAAGAAATTGGCAGGAAAACGGGTTCAGGAACTCAGCGCTGACTTGTTCCTCTCAGTTTTTGTCAAGGTGAGTCCGAAATTGTTTTAATAAATTTATGCTATAATAAAAGAGGAATAAATGTTGGACTTTAGTGTGCTGTGTATTGTAACATTAATGTAAGTTTGCATGCAATAACATTGATCTATGAATATTGTGGAATTATTTCTCTGCCCAGAGATATATTTGAATGCTAAAGTTGAGCGACACCATTTAAGGAATGAGAAATATTTCTATTTCATTAAAAAACTGTTAGAGGGAGATATCACATAATTAGGCATAAAGATGAATGTTGCAATATTTAGGAGTCAGTTCAAAAATATTTGTTTGGCAGGTCATTCTTTTGTTTAAGATGAAAATATATATTGTTAAAATTTTAAAGGATATTACATGAAGGTGATATAACCCTAAAAAAGTGGGAGGTAACATGAATTGCTGATACTATTACTAAGTTCAAGAACAATGTTTTCTTGTTGAGGTGGCCAAAAAATATATTTATCTTATCGAGGTTAAAATCTAGATGGAAAGAAATAAGAAATTTTCAAGTTTTTAGAAGTGAGGGGTGAAATAAATTCACTTTGTCAGATCCTTGATTGATTCAAGTCAAAATAACCTAAGATAATGTAGAGGTGAAAAAATTCTTACCATGTCAAAAATATATATACTGCTCTCTTAACACCCTTTATACATGTGACAAGGCCAAGTCAATGTGTTCTGCAAGGGAAAATCGGTGAGTACAAGTACAGGAATACATCAGAGATACATCATTAATGTAAAAGATTTGAAAATATCATGAATCGAAGAGAAGACCATTCAACAGCATCAGAAACTCGTTAATAAAAGATATAATACATGTTCAAAGTGCTGATATGATATAACAAATATTCATTACCTCCTTGCTCCTTGTTAGGACTACTTTGAAGGTAATGGTTAGCAGGTGGAATATATAGTAGAATGGAGGTTCCAACAACTTGTCCATTACAAATACCAGGATTGTGAAAAAGTACTGAAAATTACCTTTGCAAAAATCACAGTGTCTCTCCTGTATCTACTGTGGCCTCGTGTGAATAGGTACCATCTGTGAAGTTTGTGCTGCTGCTTTTTCAAAAATGTAGGTACTTTGAAAAGGCTGGGTTATGCAATGAACCATACATCATTGTCAAAATTCTCTGCAACTTGTGCTTAGTGTAAAGTCTTCCACTACTATGACCTTGACTTGAGAAAAAAATTTTGCAGTGAAGAAAAGATTATTATTTAGTTTCATGATTGTGCTGTATCAGATGGGAAGGTATGTGGTAGGGGGTGTATGGTGTGAACATCACTGTGCTCAGTTAGCATTAACCATTTCTGTTAATTATGTGCACATCTAAATGCCTGTGTGTATCTAGATATATTAAATTAACATGTTTCATGACCCCAGGTTAAAGTATTTCCACATATCATAAATGGTCCATACCGGATTTTAAAATGACATTATAAACCTCTTGCAGTGACTTGTCCAAACAAATATCTTAAGGTAATAGAACATCTTTGGGACTATTTGGTGAGGTTCATTTACAGGATTTGACCCCATTTGTGCAGCCATGAGCTTCTGGCTAAGCTTATAAAACAACACAGAAATTATACCAGACACCTGTTAGAGTGTAGCTGAGATTATACCTTGCAGAATACCAACAGTTATTCACACCAAGGTTTATGCTTCAATATATGACAGTGTGAATAATTTAACATCTGTGAGAATTGTTGCAGCTATCCAAGCCAACATGCTACACACACATACAGTGGACAATGTACAGACATTTTGAAAAGCTTCTAGATTCATTTATTTACCACTGTAGTCAGAAGTGTGGTCAAATCCTGTTTCATATAATAGCTAATCTTCTTTTCCTCAAAAATGATTGGAATGTAAGTCACAGATATTCAAAGTAGCTTTAGATTCTAATTACTATATATTGAAATATCAATAAAATATTGTCATTATATGATTGTACAACATTAGACCAGTCAAAATGTTAACAATGTAATGTTACTCTAGAATAATAGGATAATTTCTGTTGGTTACAAGTATTATGTAGTAAAATTATAATATTTATAAAAAAAATCATACTATTAACATTTATTCAGAAAATTGCAGTGCTGGTACAACATAAATTATTCTTTATGGAATAGGTTAGGCTAAATCTAAATTAGTAATGTAATAGTGTTATTTTTCTTCAATTTTTACGTTTTGTATGGTACATGTTTTCATGCATTTTATGATCTTGAATGTTGTTATTGTATTTGTTCTTGTGATTAGGCCACTTGACTCACAACTTGTTGATTATGGATTAAAACCTAGCACTAAACATGCATAGGGGTATTATAATGTGAATGTAAATCCCTATTATTCATTGTGAAGAGTAGCCCAAGAGTTTCAGTGGGTGATACTGGCCAGTTTCCTTCTTACTGGTTTACAGCTCAAAATTAAGAATGGAGGAAGATAGCTTTGCCATAAACAAAAACAAGTTATTGTAGTTCATTGTTTTTAATCCCCCTAAAGGTGCAGTAGTTTACTAATAATATGTTTAACCACATGTCTATTGTCTTTTTTGTTACAATATGAAGTTTTTTCTTTAATAGAGCATTTTTTTTTCTGTCACAAATATGACCAGTTTTGTTTCTAACACTGAATTTTGCCCTCAGGAATGTGGTCCTCTAGAAGAACAAGCAATGGTCATGGGTTTAATGGATCACTCTTTTGATGTTTTGATTCTGAGAATGGGAACTTTGAAGAGAGTTTATTTGGATGTAAGTTCTAAATTATTATTTTTATTTTGCTGTAGAACACAAAGCAGCATAACTAATTTTAATTATGAAGCTTATTCTCATATAAACATTGGTTTATTAGTAATGATGTTAAGACATATAAGTAATAAAATATTAAAAATATATATGAAGCCCAATTTATCATTCAGTAAGCTGCTTGTCACTGAGTTTATACTGGTTTTAAAAATTGTAATCCCTTATATGTAATCCTGAACAAGGGCAAATTGAAAATATGAGACTCGACTTTTTATGGAGGTAGACTGAATATTTTATGTATGGCATTTTAGTTGTCTTTTACTCACCACAATGAACTAATGTTTATATATATGGTTTTAATAGTATGTAGCATTGATGCTACTAATTTATTTTTCTAAATCACTCAGCACACAAGCTGTTTTAGATACTAAAAATAACTGAAATATAATATGGCATTCAATTCATCACTTGTCACCGGTGTTGTAGGTCTCGGTCTTTGCCCATTTGGGACTCGATATCTTACTATTTTTAATAATATTTAGACCTACCCAGGATTTTTAAGTGCTAAATATCAATTACACAGCAGTTCATAGGAGGAGAGGTGTAGCATCAAAGATGTTTTTCTAATAAAACTTCCTTGGTGCTATGCAATGATGTTTATGGTGCCTCCATTATTGTTACATACCTCACCAACCACCATATTACCTGTACATCAGTCTGCAGTTATAAAGCACTAATTGCTACTATACATTGTATTATGTAGGCTTACTACAAGTTTGTATGAACTTATCTGGTGCACATATTTATGTTAATATTAGCGATTATCCCCAATATTCAACATGTCTAGTAGATCTGCTGTGATTCTGTTTGACTTCAAAGATCACAAGTGAAGAAAAACTTTTCAAAAAAGGAAGTAAATGTAGGGATGGCTAATATCAATTCTTTAAAAGGAATGCAAACAAGATAGTAGGGATGGCATTTGCATCATCCCTACATAATATCACAGGCAAGAATTA